TTCATGTAAAACAACTGTTCCAAGTTCATCTCCCCAACACTTCATGTTACAGTTAAGGCAAACATCTTAGGGGCTTCCCTCTTAAATCAGCAATTTCTTGCCTCCTTGTCTTTAACTGTCCCTTTTCTGCTATCAGGAATATTTCTGTGAACATTTTTCACCACTGGGGAGCGGCGGGCAAGGCTGCTACGGAGAAGAAAGGTTAAGTGGGAAGGACAGGGGAGAAAAGCAAAATAAGTTGGAAGGAGTTGTAAGTGGAAGAGAAACTGAGATCTAGACATAGACACAGAATATAACAGGCATTTGATAAAATGTTTTCTAAACATCTTAATATTCTTTTCTAAAATACACACTTGGGCCAGGCATGGTTGCACTCATCTCTAATTCCAGTATTTGGGAGGCTGAGACAGATGGATCACTGTGAGTCTGAGGCCAGCCTAAGCTACATACCGTGATCAAAACCAGCCTGAACTACACACCCCGTCTCAAAAAACAAAAGTGCACTGTCTATCTCCAGTGCACGAGATAATGGCCTTACAAAAATTAAGAAATAGTGTCTTTCTTAATGAGCTAGTTTATTCCTATGGCTAACACATGGTAGAAACCACAAAATGGTAACTATTTTAACATAAATATAAACGAAGTGCTCTGGGGAAAGCGAAATACCTCTTTTTTGTATGGAAAGACCTTAGAAGACTTGTGGGGGATGGACAGACCGGAAGTCGAATCCAAGTGTGAGTTAACTCACACTGAGTTATATTCTAGCCCTTTTTTTATTTTGACACAAGGTCTTACCAAATTATTAAGTTGCCCAAGCTAGGCATAAATTTGTAATCCTCCTGCCTTAGCCTTCCAGACTGCAGGGATTACAGGCATGCACTCCATACCCAGGCTAGAAGTCTTCCTTAAGCCCATGGAAACAGAAAATTTGAAAGAAGCTTCCTTTGTTTCTTCCTCACAGTCAGGTAAGTAACTGTCTCCAATTATTCTCCTTATTAAAAAAAAATCCTCATCTAGACTTATTCAGCCTCAAAAAATTAAGTACCCAAAAAAACCCCAATTTGTTTTTAAAATGCCTTGAAGTACAAATTTGTAAAGAAACAAAGAACAGGATACAAACCAATGTTAGCAAAGACTCCTTCAGTGGTAGTATTAAGGGTAATTTAAAGCTTTTTTTTCCTTCTGTACTACTGCTTTCTCGAGATTCTCTAGAATGTTTGTTTTGTTACTAGGACCAAAGAAAAACTATAAAACCTAAATCAAAAGGATTTAGCACCAAAAACTTTGCACCAAGATTGTAGTTGAGTGTTTTGTCAAAAGTGAAATAAACACACTGGGGATAACAATTAAATTTTTGTAATCCTTTCTAGTGGTCAATCCATCCACATATCATCCCAAAACCTTAAAAGTGAAGGTTTTAATAATTCTAGTTCTAAGGAAATAATTCAGAGGAAATGACCAACAACAAACCATTCAAGGAAATATATATGTCATTCATTTACAAAAGTAAAACATAGAAAACAACTTTACTTTCCAACAATTTACTCATTGATTTAACATACATTTATTGAGAGCCTAACTACGTGCCAAGCATTTGAGATACAACAATAAGCAGCTATACAAAACTCCAGACCAAGTTCTTGCCCTCAGTGGAGCTCACAGTCTAGTGCAAGTTGGAGGACTGGATATAAATAAGGAAATAAAATGTTTGGCATGTTACATTTTTATTTTGATCATGAAAGAGTTAGGGAGATGGGCAGGAAGTGGGATGGGTAGGCAGGGGCAAGCTGTATAGACGGTCAGGAAGTCTGAGGTAGCATTTAAGGAAAAGCTTTTAAAAGGTGACTATTGTTTTATACCCAGAAATCATTTTCTTCATTAAATTTAATGTATCTTTTAAAACTGTTCTGTGATTTAGGAATGTATGTACCTACTCTAAACATAATCTAAGACCTAAAGATTCTGTGGACTTTTCAAAGTCCAAGCCTACATTACAATCCAACCTCACAATTTCCAATGCTCTCCCATCTTCACAACTGCCCCCCCAAATACCAATAAATCTCTTCATTTTATAAATCTCATTATACAGTACATTTTACATTATTTTTACAAAAATGATGATCTTCACAAGGAGAACACTACTATTTCCGGGCGTGGGGGCACACGCCTGTAATCCCAGCACTCGGGAGGCTGAGGCAGGAGGATCATTGTGAGTTCAAGACCAGCCTCGGCTACAAAGTGAGCTCAAGGCCAGCCTGAACTGCATAGCGAGACCCTGTCTCAAAAAAAAAAAAAAAAAAAAAAAAAAAAAGAGAACACTACTAAATGTTTCTATACGGTTCAAAGTTACACACTGATTCAATGTAATCAACCTCAAAATTCTTGATTCTCAAGTGCTCTGGACACATCTCCTTACCTCAAGTTTCATAACAATCATATTACATGCAGAAAAATAGGACACCAACCTATTCATACTGCAGCTTTCAAGCTATGGGTTACTTGGGTTAAGGGCCTCATATACTTTCTTTGCCAAAAGGGATTTTGACACATGATACAAATAAGGGAGTGCCTGCCTACTCAGACCTTCAGTACTCCACTTATCAGCATTTCAGGTGACTCAGGAATGCACCTAGGCTATAATATTTGCAGAGTAACAGAGTTAACAATTACATACAGCTATTGTTTAAGGATAAGACTGGTCACAGGGGCTGGGGATTTAGCTCAGTGGCACAGCGCCTGCCCAGCACGCACAAGGTCGTGAGTTCGATTCCCAGTACCAGGAGAAAAAAAAAAAAAAAGAAGACTGGTGACTACTCTCTCTGCTAAAGCTATCTCAATTCAAATTCTGCTTAAAATACTAGGCCAATCTCACAAAATATCACCGAACAAAATTTCAGAGTACCAATCAAAAGGAGGATGTGCAAGACACTACTGACAGACTGAGATGACTGTTTGAAAATGAATGGTGTAGGCAACAGGCCAGCAAACATTTCTGAAAAGGGCCATGGAAAAAATATTTAAGCTCTGTAAGCCAGACAGCCTCTGATGTAACTACTAAATCCTGCCAGAGTAGCATAAAAGCAGTAAGACAGCGCCGGGCATGGTGCTGTATACCAGGCTGAGGCTGGACGATTGTAAGTTGAAACCTAGCCTGGACAATTTAGTGAGACCCTGTCTCAAAGTTAAAAAAAAATGTAAAAAGGACTGGGATGTAGCTTCAGTGTGAAAGTCCTGAGTTCAATCCCCAATACCACCAAAAAAAATAAGCAGATGCTATCAAAACCAATAGGTACAATAAAACTTTATAATACCACAAGCCACAGATTTATAAACATGTAATGTAGGGCATCAAGCAAAATGTAAACTCTAGAAAAACAGCTTTTCCTTCTTTTGCTTCAGCTAAATTTCTGATATTTTTTTTCAATCCCTATTAAAAACAGAGTGCTTTTAAGAAAAAAAAATTCATTAATTACCAAACAATTTTAGTCATGTTTTCACAAAGAAAAAGACATGACGATATATACAAAAGGGAAGCAGTTACAAATTCTAGAACATGGCAAAAAAGCTGCACATGAAAAGGTTTACAAAGTAAATTATATGAATTTAAATCCACTTGGTAAAGGAAATAGGTATGAATAAAGATTTAGCTATAAGAATTTCACTAAAAATATTTTTATAAAGAAAAACGCAATAATGAAATTGCTACATCTAGAGGACTAGTTAAACAAATGATGGTACATCCATACAATGCAACTATTAGTAGGATAGTAAATATTTATTGATAAAAAGATGTTTCTGATTTAGGTTTTTTTAAAGGTTACAAAATTAAATGTACAGTATGTTCCCATTTTTGTTAAAATACATGTACATATACACAAATAAGATACATAAAACCACTTGGAAAGGTACACCAAGATTGTTACAGTGGTTGCTAAAATAATGGCAATTATATTTCCTTCCAAATTAGTCAATTTCATATAATCATATATTGAACTGGTAGTAAGTAAGAAAAAAATTTTAAATATAAATAACTACAACAAGTGTTGCATTATTTAGGTGAACATTTTCAAAACAAACTCTTATATAGGAGTTGCATCAGTTCTCAGATCTGCAAAGTATTTCTCCTCAGTGTCCCAAAATTAGCAATAAAGGTTAAGAACATTTAGGAATTATATATAAAAAGGTAGGTATATAATAGGGTAAGCTAGTAAGAATCCTCAAATAGGAATTTATTACAAGAAGTCTTATCAAACCACTATCAAATGAACAATCAAGAATGTTTAAGACACTAATTCAGTTTATCTAGTTTAGGTACTGCCTCTGACATTATTACCAAAGGGGTTGTTCGAGGAATGAATGGAAAAAGTAACTATCATTATTCACGCCACTGAAGAGAGGATCTTCAATCACCAACTTTTGGGGAAAAGGAAGAAGAGGGGGGGAAAGTCACACTACAATGTGATGGATCTCAAAATTCCATGAGAATTCCATATTCGGGGTCCAAACACATCTGTAAGAGACTCAAAGGTCAATTAATTGTTATTATGGCAAATGCTAACTCAACCCTAACATGGGCTATTTATTGCTAACAGCCTGTATAACTCTGGACCACCTGCCTAGCCCATCAATATAATAAAACTTAACACTTCCATAAGAGCTACTTTTCAAATGAGTCTATGAATAGTGATCACAAAACAACATTGTAAGAGAAAACATAGACATTAAAATGTTACAATTACATTTATACAAACTTGTGTAGGTACCTAAAGAACTCAAACAAAACAATTTTCTAAACTGATGAGACTATGAGGTTTTAAATTCTATTATCGTAACACCATCAGACCAAGAAAAAAAGTACAAGGAATTATAGAATGCAGTTATTTACCAAATAACATTTATTACTGGATTACCCACACATTTTTAGATCACCTAGCACCTGTACAAAGACCCTACTACTGTATTGGTTATCCAACATCAAGAAGATGAGACTGAAAACTCACCATTCAGGCCCAAAGTTCAGTGTCTGTGTTTCTGCTGCCATTCTTCTCTGTATTTTCACAAAGATTTTTTTGTATGTGGAGAAACCTGTTAAGAGAAAAATATCCCCATACAATTAGTCAAGATTAAGTACAGTATTCTGGGCCAGAAGGCCTAACTATAGAGTGTGCTTTTGTGCTATACTTATGTTTCTGTCACCTAGAGTCAAAAGTATGATTTTAAATTCTTATTTAGAACAATATAGCAGGCAAGACAAAATGAATAAACCCATCATTCTCTTCCAACTCATGTGCTTCTTATGTTTATCTAAGTAAAGGAAGCAGGGCATAACATGAAACTAGTGAGACAGGTAGCAGCGGACTATACAGGCCACTAGGATGAAATTAAGTATCTTCTCCTTCACACTTAGAGCAGTGGGAAGTGAATAAAAGGTAATACATTCACATTTTCTTTTCTATTACTCTTTTGTAATGGCTTCCTAATCACTGGGAAGGACAACAAAAATCCTTAAAATAAAAAAATCCTCCTTCACCTATCTCACTGGCTTCTGTCACACCTCTTCCTGATTTCAGCTTAGCACTTCACACTTTAGCAAGGCCTTAAAAAATTATTTTGGAAGGCAGGCATGGTGGTATATGCCTTTAATCTCAGCACTTCGTAATGGATGCCAGCCAGGGCTACATAGCGAGACCCTGTCTCAAACATCAAAATTTTAGCACTTAGGAAATTAAGGCAGGAAGATCAAGTTCCAGTCCCTCCTGGGCAACTTAACCAGACCCTGTAACCAAATTTTAAAAAGGCTAGAGATGTAGCTCAGTGAGAAGTCCTTGGGTTCAACCTCCGGTACCACAAATAAATAAAACATAGATAAAAATTATCATAGATCATCAAGTTAAAATTATAAACTAAATGAATTTCATAAAGGACATTTCAAAGACAACTGTAAGCCAGGTACAATGACACATGCCTATGATCCCAGCTTCTTGGGAGGCTGAGACAGAAGGATTCAAAGTGCAGGATCAACCTGGACAAACACAGACCCCAATTGAAAAAAAAAAAAATTAGAACTCAGAAAAAATAAAACTACTGTAAAAATTATAAATATATTATAAAATAGCTCTAAGACATACCACATTATTCTGATTGCTGCCTCTGTTTAAATGACTGAAAAACGTAATAAAATAAGAACTTGTCTACAACTTAGAAATGGCAAAATGAAAGTGTGTTAACCTCCATAATCAGCCATTCATTTATCTGCCCTCCTTCTGGAAGGTATTTCTGGTCACATGTCAACCAAGTAGACTCCAGGAGACTCCTACGCTCCTACATGACCATGTAGCCCCCAGCCAGACAAGGGGTATACCTCAGACTCAAGAGGAGATAAACTTAGCGTCCTCAACTTAAAACAACTGATGATTAAAAAAAAAAAAAGTAAGACATCTACAGTTTAACTTCTCTGAAATTAGAATGCACCTTAAATAGATGCCATGTTATAAATGCCACTGGCTGGGTGGTAACTGTTCATTGCACATAAGCAGATGCTGCGCAAAATGATTACACTATGATTCTGCACTGATTTTTGGTTTTTCTCCGGTACCAGGAACCGAACTCACGACCTTGCACTTGCCGGGCAGGTGCTTTGCTGCTGAGCTAAATCCCCAGCCCCATGATTCTACACTGAAACAAACTCAGGAAGTGCTGGATGTAGTGGTGCAGAGCTATAATCCCAGCATGTGGGAAGCAGAGGCAGGTCTCACTGTGAGATCGAGGCCAGTCTGGGCTACATAGCAAGTCTCAAAAAACAAAACAAAACAAAAAAAGAAAGAATAAAATAAAGAGTTAAATACTTTTAAGATCTTCACAAGCAACAAATGACAAAATTTTAAACTGATAAAAAAAATAGTGGTGCCAGACACAGTGGCACACGCCCGTAATCCTAGCACTCAGGAGGCTGAGGCACGAGGATCTTTGCAAGTCTGAGGCCAGCCTGGGATACTTAGTGAGTTAAGGCCAGCCTGAACTATACATCCAGACCTGTCTCAAAAAAAAAAAAAAAAAGCCAAAGAAAAAAGGGTTTCCACTGTGGGAGATGCTGCTGCCTGGACCCTGCTGTGGTCTCTGGTGTGTGACCCTGAAATCACCCCTGGTGCCCAGCAGTGGCAGTAACACAGTTGGTGGGAAGAGCCCTTCTCTTCTGAAGGGTCCTGAGAAGCCTTGGCAGCCGGCTCAGACTGGCTCCCTGCCTGGACTACTGAGCAAGACCCTGTCTCAAAAAACCAAAAATATGGGCCAGGGATATAGCTCATTGGCACAAGCGCCTGCCTGCAAGTGCAAGGTCCTGAGTTTGATTCCTGATACCAAAAAAACCAAAAACATAAAACAAACCAATAAATAAATCATATACAAAAATGACATTCTATATAATAAAAACCTACTAGTTTGCTAAATAAGTTTAAAAGAGCCCTTTTTAAAAATATAAAATAGGAGCCAGGGGTGGTGGCGCATGCCTGTAATCCCAGCCCTTGGGAGGCTGAGGCAGAGGGATCATTGCAAGTTCAAGACCAGCCTGGGCTACAAAGTGAGCTCAAGGCCAGCCTGAACTGTGGTGCAAGACCCTGTCTCATAAAGACAGAAAAAAATAAAAATGTAAAATAAAAACTTTTAAATAATAAGGAAATCCTGAGCCAGTTTAGTTGCCACTATCAATTGTAAGTAATGCATAAAATAGAGAGCCTTACAACTGACCCATGAGATTCTATTACAATTACAGCACATCCCAACTGAAACGACTCTGCAAAGTGCCCACTGTTAAGATAAGTATCCACCTTACCAACCAGGCTTACTCCTTGATCGACCATAAATTAGTTCAGTGTGTTTTTTTAGAAGTATGTGGACCTACCTGACTATCAAACAGAGCCACAGATACTACCTTAACAAAGTAAGATTTTATTAGTAATACAAACCATATTGCCAGGCATGGTGGCACATGCCTGTAGTCCCGGCACTAGGGAGGCTGAGGAAGGAGTACCACAAGTTTAAGGCCACACAGGAACTTCAAGGTCAGCCTGAACAACATAAAAGATACCCTATCTCAAAAAAAAAGAATTTAAGAGCCGGGTTTGGTGGTGCACACCTGTAATCCCAGCACGTGAGAGGCTGAGGCAGGAGGATTGTTGTGAGTTTGAGGCCAGCCTGGGCTACAATGTGAGTTCAAGACCAGTCTGAACTGCATAGTGAGATCCTGTCTCAAAAAGACAGAAAAAAACCAAAAGAACTAAAAAAAAACCTAAAAGAACCTTTTTGACCAACTTTTTAAATCTCACCTAGACAAATGCTTTAAACTGAAATCCTTAGGAAACATTTGACTATTGGAAAGGCTCCAAATTCATAAAGAAAGTCAGGATTTGAACCAGACTGAATTTTTAAAAAAGCAAGATGCCAACTAAAAATCAAATGACTTAGTATTTGTGAAAATGTTAAAAATAACTTAGTGACAATTTTTTTCCTCTTTAACTTACAAGGCCATCACATATGGCCACATAGGTTTGTGGAAGAACAAAACTCCAGGGGTGCTATTAACACAAATGATACAAATAGGGTCCCTGGAGTTACATAGTACAAAGCCTGCTGAAATGTAGCCACAGTCTGGAATTATAAGAAAACCCCTGGATTCAGGCAACATCCAGGGAATAATGAACAAGGAAATCTTGTCCCAGTCCACTTTATAATCCCACCTATAAACCTTTAGGTACTGCAAAACTACCCCAATGCACAAATTTTAAGTGCTCAAGAGTTAGAAATGAAAGCCAGGTGTGGTGGTAAATGCCTATAATCCCAGCACTCGAATGGCTGAGGCAGAATCACTTTGAGTTCAAGACCAGCCTGGGCTACAAAATGAGCTCAAGGCCAGCCTGAACTGCATAGCAAGACTGCAAGACCGAATCTCAAAAAAAAAAAAAAGAGAGAGAGAAATGCTCAGAGCCAGGCACAGGAGGGCATGCCTGTAACTGCAGCTACTTCAGAGCCTAAAGCATGAGAATCAGAAGTCCAAACCTGGGGAATTTATTGAGATTCATGTCTAAAAAAAATTTAAAAGTCCCCAGTACTGCCAAAAACAAAAGCACTCAATAGGCTGTTGTTTTTTTTTTTTTTTTAAAGTCTTAAACTGGAAACCAAACTACTATTTATAAGACAATTTCCATAAGAAAATTGCAGTATTTCCTAGGGCAAATACTTCAAAGAATCTAAGAAATACTCAGGCATGGAGGTGCATGCCTGTGATCTCAGCACTAGGGTCAAAGCAAGAGGATGGCCCTAAGTTCAAGGCCAGCCTAAGCTATGTAAGTTCAACGATGGCCTGGAATACATAGCAATTTTTTTTTTTCTTTTTAAGTTTTTTGAGACAGGATCTCGCTCTGTAGTGTTCAAGCTGGCCTTAACTCCCATTGATCCTCCTGCCTTGGCCTGCAGGGTGCTGAGATTACAGGCATGCACCACTACACCCAGTCTGAGACCTTGTTTAAAAAAAAACCCAGAAAACCTAAGTAATAATCCAAGTGATTTAATTATCAAGAGACCAACATCATTCTGTTCATTCTCCTTTATAAAATAAAGCAGGAAATCTAAGAGGTACAGCTGGTGAAGAATCCTAACTTAACCTGGGCCTCGTAGCACACATTAATAATCCCAGCTACTCAGGAGAAAGTGAGGCAAATTCAAGGGCAGTCTTGGCAACTTAGCAACTTAGCATGGGCAACTCAAAAAAAAAAAAAAAAAACCAGAAAGGGCGGTGGGCAGCACTCACAAAGAAGATGTGAAACCCTGAGTTCAATCACCCTCACTGCACCAAAAGAAGAAAAATGAAATCTAATGTAAACACTAATTACTGTATAGTACTCTCTTAATTCTGAGTTCCTTCCCAATCAATTTAAATGAGTCTAAGTTTAATGGATTTTTATGTATGAAAAGGATAGCCTTTAAAAGGCCTCTAAATTATAATTAGTTTAACTAGAAACAGTGCCTTATTCAAATAGTTTT